TAAGTGTTTTACGGCGCTCTCAACTGCATACGATCATATGAGCGCGCAGGACACATTAAACATTTTCAGTTGGTAGGAAATTTTGAATTTTGACCGTGTGACGGCCGAAGCCTAGTTTTATTGATGTTGGACCACCATCTTTAGCGAGCGGTACTTGCACCCGGGACCTTCGACATTTTTCGCTTTTGTCCGAGAACGCTAGGTGTAGGTCTTTCCTACCACAAGATCAAGGGTGTGGCTGAAAGACAGCAGTGAAAAGGGCCAGTGAGTAGCAATTGGAAAGGCTGCAGAAAGAGTCAGGAGCCCAGAGGAGAGGGCGAAGGAGGTGAGGGGGTGAGAGCAGAAAGTGGATTCGAAAGCAGACGACAGAACATTGCTAGAGAGCAGGAAAGCAGGAGAAAGTAGACAATTTTAGAGAAGAAAATTTTCCGTTGCTATCCGGATTCGAACCCGGGACCTATTGAATGAGAGGCGTACACCTTAACCTCTAAACCACTAGAGCCCCCTCAGAATAACTACTAGAATCTAGTTTCCCACAACTACATTGTTGAGCAGGAGAGGCAGCGTTAATGGCACTATAAACAACCAAAACAAAAGGGGTCTCATAATTATGATCAATGCACACTTCTCTCTCTCTCTCTCTCTCTCTCTCTCTCTCTCTCACAAACCCATATAAACAAACACACACAAACAATATACAAACAAAAGAGTAAAACACGTTAACCCAGATCTCTCTCTCTCTCTCTCTCTCTCTCTCTCTCTCTCTCTCACACACACACACACACACACACACACACACACACATTCTTCTACCCACTATCAAGGACAGCACAAAATTCCCTCAAACAAAGCCCCCCCCGCCCTCTCCCCTACCTCCACCCCGGGGAGGGTTTAAATCACTCACCTCGATAAAGTTGGCGAGCAGCGCACAGCTGAGCTCCTGCTCCACGATGTCTTTGTTGCTCTGGTTGTTGAAGCAGCAGCAGATGAGGCTGGGGAAGAGTACGGCCACCAGGCGCGGGTCGCTGAAGTACTGGAAGGGCAGGGCGCACACCTGTTGGAGGACAGTCGGGGGCTGCCCGGACTGGATGATCACCTGGGGACACAAACAAGGGTTTTGTTTTATTTCTTGTTGTTTTGTTTGGTTTTTGGGGGTGGTTGTTGTTTTTTCTTACCCACTTCCCAATTTTACGTCTGATTTTGTAAACAACGAAGAAGGTGAGTTAAAATAATAATAATTGTTAAGCTTCGAGCACCCCCCCCCCCCCCTTCTTTTTTTTCTTCCCGGAAACAGGAAACTTGTGTTTTTAATAGATGATGATGATGATAATAATAATGATGATGATGATGATGATGATGATGGTGATGGTGATGGTGATGACGATGACAACGAAATTGTTAAAACCGATGTGCAGGATATTTCTTCGTTCGGAGCCTATTCTGGATTCTCTTTTCTTCTTCCCCCCCCCACCCCCCCCCCCTTTCCGCAGACTGTCCGCATGGACAGGACATAAAGATAAATTGTTTAGACTGAGTACAGGATTGTGCTTAATTGGTGACTTTCATGCCTATATTAGACGCAATTGAGATCATTTAGGAGGGGGTCTGTATCTTAGATTTAGTGTTAGTAAGTGTTTTACGACACTTGCAACACAATAAGGTTTTTATTGTAAGTGCCGAAGATTAGAGGTGTTACAATAGAGAAACAAACACAAAAAGGAAGGAGGGGGAGACAAAGACGATAAATGTTTGAAAGGAAAAAAGAAGCAAACCACATCAGAGCACCTGCCAACCACCCACCCGGCCAGTCTGGGCTACCCCAAGCTTAGTGGTGGGATACAACATTCCAGCTGCCAGACGGACACACGCACGTTTAATGTTATTTTAAAAAAGGCTTCAACGACTTGGAACTCAAAACTCACTTCTGCTGCTGTTCGTTTGTATGCGTAAAAAGAAGCACACCGATACGTCACATTTAGTGCAGGGTAAAAGTAAGATAGAAACAACCGAGAAAAATAAAAGACGTAGGACCTACCACTGCCAGAGAGAGGGAGACAGGGAGACAGAGAGAGAGAGAGAGAGAGAGAGAGAGAGAGAGAGAGAGAGAGAGAGAGAAAGAGAGAGAGAGAGACAGACAGACAGACAGACAGAGAGAGAAGAGAGACAGAAAGAGGGGGTACAGTGTTGAGGGAGGGACAGCATAGACATCACAGGGACACAACCTCACGTCGCGTAATTATGTTTATATGTTCAGAAATGAAACAATCAGGCGACGGGTAGTCGTACACGAGCGAGAAGAACAAAATGAGCAACAATATGGAATTTGTTTTCTGTCCTAGAAACAGGACCGTTTTCATTTTCGGGATGAACCAAAACATATGTAGCAATGTGAGGCTCTTCATTACCACTAATAAACAGGACAGACATTAGGAAAGTTTTTTGGGGAAGAAATCTAACATAAACATTCCATAGGTGTTCATTTTAACTCGAAAACTTTTCTCACATGCGGATGCCCCACCGAAAATCTAAAAGTAAAAAGTTTTATAAGGACGGCTCGGTTCTGGCAAAAAGAGCCAACTGCTGTAGGTTGCGTGAGAGCTTGTGACACGCGGGTGTCATGCTGGGCATGAGTCCGTTATCAGAGCCGAGAAGGCGCAGCTCAGGAGGCCGGAGAACAAGGGAAGGCATCATTACGCCACAGGGGCACCGCCAGTCGATGACAAGACTTCACGCCCACTCGCCCTATCGAGATGGGACCCCGCAGGAGGAGACGGGGGATAAACAAATTCTCCACACCCTTGCGTTTATGTTCCAACAACCACAAATCACATTTCTCTACCCTCGCTTTCCACGGCTCCTGCCGTTCGTACATTCGCATCACTCTTATTCTTTCTGCAATCCTCGAGTCTGCCAGTCTCTTCGGTGTCTCTTAACACTGACGGTTCCTACACGTTGTTCCCTTTTGGTTAGCTGATTTTTTTTTTTTACTTCACCCATAGAACTATTGACCACCCACGCACGGTAGCTGGTGTATTTCCTTTATTATTCACTGGCACCCCCTTTCCCAAGAAAGATAACGCAAACGGAACTGAACCCATTTCGTGATATCCAGTCATAATAAAAGTTTACATAAGCGACTGCCAAGAATAACGCACGACACACCAACGAGAAGATCCATGGTACATCACAGTGACGGAAGGGGCAACATCTCTACGAGAAAGATATAACGCACACACATTTTTATTTTGCTTAAGTAGAGGTTTTACAGCGCCTGCAAATGCATAAGGTCATATGAGCGCCAAGGGGTGGATGTCAACCGGGAAGTCCTTACAGACAATTTTTTATCGTCACAAGTATTTTACAAGTGGACAATAAATTCAGAGCACCACCATCTCTGCACGTTCGTTTGACCACCGGGCTAAAAACCCGTAGGCTCTAGTATGAGTTAATGAGACCAAACGTCTACAAGAGAGAGAAGAAAATACATTTAATTTGTACAAAAGGCAGAAAACATAGAAGTGTCTGTCAACGATGATTTACACCCCTATTTCAGACAGAAAGAGCAGGAGGGATGTATTGAAGTAGGACTAACCAGTAATGCCCTCAAACCACTCGCTCTCTTATCAGCCAAACGTCCTTGTCCAACTGATCACAAAGACAGATCGTATTTTCGGTCCGGGCCCATTTCATAAATGAGGCAGGAAACCTTTTTTAACTCCCAAAACAAAACTAAACAAACACACACAAAAAAACAACAAAATAAAACTAAAATATGCCTGATAAACTTCTGTAATGAACCACGTTGACACATAGTGCGTAAACGTCCCTCTATGGAGCAAACAAAAAAATGAATAAAAATGAACAAACACAAATACAAAGAAATCAATCCGTGACACCCATCCAAATAACAGAAACATAAAACTATCGCACATAAACATTATTATGATATTTGGCTAATGTAACAATATTACAGGACACTTCATATGTGCTCTTACTCCAAAATAGCTCTGGTTACAATTTAAAAAGCTTTGTTGGTTTTGAAAGCCAATTCTTTATGAAACACAGCCCGTACAAAATAATTCAGACAGACAATCCAAAGTTTGCTGAGATTTTGGAGATTTGGAGAGGGGGTTGAGTTATGTAGAGGCCAGAAATGGGCTTCTGAATTCTACATGCCAGTTTACAATGTTCATGGGAGTACATTAATTTTGTCTCTCCATCTTTCCATCTCTCTCTCTCTCTCTCTCTCTCTCTCTCAATCCCTCTCTCTCAATCTCTTTCTGTCTCTGTCTCTGTTTCTCTCATTGGTAAGGTGAAACCTTTCACACATGGAACTGATCAGTCCACGTAGGCCGGGGCAATAAAGCTCTCTGTGTATGACCGCAAACATGCAGGCAACGTAATAATCCAGTTAGAACAAAAACGATAACAAAACTACAGGAATAAAGGGGGCAAATAAAAACGCATTACACAGCCTCTGTCCCGCCGATTTACGAAGTGAAACGCTGAAAATGAATGAGAAGGTGGCAAAGAATTAAGTGTTTCCATTTCGTATGTTGCTTCCCCCCCCCCCCCCCCCCCCCCCCC